AATGTCAAATGTATAATAATAATGAGAATTGAAGCTATTTCGTTTCAGATATATTAATATACTTAGGGAAACAATTGAGAATAATTTCCCTTTCCCCCCAGAATTTGGGCGTCCGTTTTTCGTTCAAGGGGCGTCCCTGGACGCCCTTCTGGCTAAAAGCCTGGCTCTATCAGTTCTAAAGACTAAACTGTTGTAGCGTTGGTCCCAAAAAGATCCCAGGTTCATTTACCTCCTGGCAGTTCGTTGTACTGTGGTGGTTCCATCTCCGACAGAGAGACACGTTGCTCGATAGTTTTCATAATGTACATCTTGCGTTACCTCTTTCAGATCTTGCATGTGCGTGCTATTTTTAGAATACACATGTTACAATTTAATACTTTCAGTTTCATTGAAATTTTCCCCAAGTACACACGTAAAAACGCACAGGTTGTTCCAGGTCTGCAAACAAGTTGTTACGAATCTGTTCACAAGCTGTCGACAAGTTGTGTTCGCACTGCTTGTTCCCAGTTGTTGGAACAAGTTTGGAACAAGCTGATAACAAATTGTAACAAGCTTGATGGCGTTATCAGACTTGTTACAAAGTTCTAAAAAGTCTGATACCGTCATGATATAACAAGGTTGACGACACGAGGTTGTAACAATATATATATTGTTATATGATTGTATCGGACTTGTTGGAACAACCTTACAGCACGTCTGACAATGTTATCAAAGCTTATTACATGTTGTTAACAGCTTATTCCAAACTTGATGACAACTTGGCCTTGGGACAAGCAGTGCGAACACAACTTGTTGACGGCTTGTTGGCAGACTTGCTACAAGATATGAGATTTTTACTCGTGTAGAGTAGGTTACAATAAAGTTGTCAAACTTAATTAATAGACCGACTGGCCAAAATACGTACATTAGCATGGTCCTCAATTTAACAAAATCGGAGTGTTTTGGATTCTCAACTACATGAAAAAGACAAAAATATTACAGCACAAATGAGTGTGAAACGATCATCTCGAACGTTTGTCCATTTAACAACGCACCTTCAACCACACCCCAGGGGTAACGGCGACCTCGAACCTTTTTGCCTTGTACTTCAATCGTCGCATTGCTGCCCACAACCGCAAACGGCATGGTCGCCTAGAATGGCACAGTGAAAAAAATTAAATTAGCTTAAGTCCAGCTTCGTCAAACCATGGCCTATCGAAGGGAAGATGGCTGTGAAACTCACTAGAATAACAATATAACTCATTATCTATGTTAGTCAACGTTTATTCATAAATCTGGTCCTTCACCGACACGTGTGTGTTGTATTTTTGCCCAACTAACCAATAGCAATGTCTTAGGAAAGTTACCTATCCGTGACTCGAACATTAGGGTAAATTGGAAATTGCTATTGGTGGATTTGGTAAAAATACAATACACACGCGACGGTGAAGGACCAGATTTATGAATGAAACGTTGACTAATATAGTCATAGATAATGAGTTATAAACAAAAACATAGATTCTTGGAAAAAATTTTGTTGAAAATAAAATTAACAATTTAAATTAAACAAATTTATATTGTTATTCTAATGAGTTTCAAGCCATCTTCCCTTCGATAAGCTATGGTCAAACAAGGATGCGAATTGATGGGTCTCTAGATGAGTGTTGCAACAATGTTTTAACTTAATTTAAATAAAATACATGATAGTGTTGGGGAAGTATTAAAAGCCGATTTACACTGTCAAATTTTCTGTGATCACAGTAGGAATTTTGCATATAGGTTTTGAAGGATTTGTAGGGAATGTACGAGGGAACTTGACTCGCTGTTTAACACCCAGTCAGTTGCCTTAAACATTTCTTACAAATCCTTCAAAACTTAGAAGTTAGAAAAAATCTTACTCTCAAATCCTCCGTTTGTTTCTTGTAATCGGCGTCTTCGTCATCGTCGCAATACGGCAGTTGATAGATCTGAATCTCATATTTCTGAATTTCGTGAATTATCTGCAAAATATTAAAACAAATTCCCATTATAGACTAATTTTAAAATTGCGCAAGGAGATGCAAATAAATCAACACAGCTATAGAAAGAGCATACTAAAATGAAATTGCAAAGTTTGGTTGCGAAATTTTGTAAAATGCGGAAAATATAGCCTTGCAAATTTTGTATACTTTTGTATTGCGTGCGTAAAATTCCTACCATTTTCGGCCCAAATGTGTTAGCAATTTCCGCACGCAATACAAAAGTACACAAAATTTGCGAACTTTGCAAGGCTATATTTTCCGCATTTTACAACATTTCGCAACCAAACTTTGCAATTTTACTCATTTTAGTACGCTCTTTCCGGGAATATACTTTTTCTTGCCAAGATAAAAAATTAGTCCATAATGGAAATTGTCTATTGGTGCTTGGTGCCCTAGTACACCCCAGGCTAATTATATAGTTGTTAAAATTTCACCTTCTTTTTTAATTCTCGCAGTTCCTTTTGCGTTAAAGTATCTGCCTTGCCGATGACTGGCACAATGTTGACTCGACTGTGCAGTTGTCTCATACAGTCAATGTCGATCGGTTGTAGCCTTCAGAAAATACAGAATACATCTTTATGGGTGGGTTTTACTAAGAACTACCGTGCATTTATCAGAGTGAGAAAATCAAGCAAGTGTGCCAGCCAGTCTGCCAACAAGCTGTCAACAACTTGTAACAACCTTGTTGATACTATCAGACTTGTTACAACTTGTTACAAGGTCGTTCCAACAAGTCCAATACAGTCATGATATAACAATATTGTCCAGGGTGCGATAATTCGCGTACCAACGTACCGGAGGTACGCCAAATTTATGGTCTGGTACTTCTTTGTTTTTAGCCAAGTACCACGTAGGTACGCGGAAATTTACTATTCGCGTACTTACATTTCCTTTCTAGCAATAACTAGCCAACCTGCCACCACTGTATGTAGCTGAGGTCAGACATATAGCACCCTCGGTAAATCCACTGTAAATGAGCGATGGCATTCGATTCGAGTCACGACGTCGACGCTTTGATAACAGTTATATTATGTTGTACAAATACCATAATTAAAGATTCATTTGTGCAAAATTGCCCATACATTTTTTGCTTTTGGACCAGTATTAAAACTATACGTAGGTATAAAAACGCATGACTCGGAAGTAGTCTTAGGTACGTCTTGACTCTTAAGTTTGTACCAGATCAGGTACGCGGCAAAAGTTGTCGGAGTACCAGTCAGGTACGGCCAAAAATATTGAATTATCGCACCCTGAATTGTTACAACCTTGTGCGGTCAACCTTGTAACATTCTTGTTATATCATGATTGTATCGGACTTGTTAGAACAACCTTAACAGCTTGTTCCAAACTTGTTGCAACAACTAGGAACAAACAGTGCGAACACAATTTGTTAGTTGTTAACATTCCTTGCCATCATCTGCATTCTGCTAGCCCCCCTCGCTTGCTTAATACTGAAATTTGCCAATTGTTTCGGTATTTTTTTCATTTTCATTTGCGACTTACCCGGTGGGCGAAATAAAGTAAAAACAACAATGAATTCGATTGTCAACGATATTTCTTCGATTGAGCCCAGACTCGTCCTTCAGATAGGTGTTAAACTGATTGTTGACATAGTCCAGAATCGGTTTGTAACTGAAAAATAATTAGATATTGTACTGGAGGGAAACTTTGGGGGAGAAGTGTGGTACATGCATACGTTGGAAGTGTTGGTGTGTATGTGTGCATGTAACCTCTGCGACTCGGTTTTGATTAGAATTTTGCCTCAGTCTAAAGATTGTGCCGGATCTGGCTACCAGTATCGGAGTATCCAGCAAAATGTAGACATCCAGTAGAAAGTTTGAATTACTGGATATTACTGGAACTTTTGCTAATGACCACAAAACCATCTGTTTTGCATTAAGATTTTGTGAAACACAAACAACTAGTCTACCAGACATGTGACACATTAAAACGAAATTACGGTTAAGTTTTTTGTGATGTAAACTGCTCTCTCTTGTATATTGTTGGATGACCTGTGTGCCACATACTGAACAGATAATGGACAATTTTACGACAAAAAGTTAATGACGTATTGTCCAAGTACCACCATCAGTATCCAGTTATTATTTGGTTCCGGCAAAGCAGTATTCGACACATCCCTAGTATCCCTACTGCAGTGACATGTCAGCATAGCATGCTTTCGGTTTGAATTACAGAAATTACAGTTAAGGTTAATTTTTTGTGGAGTAAACTGCTTTCTGCTGTATATTATCCAATGACCATGACTAAACAGACATTGGCTGTGATAATTATGATTTATGACCTGAACAGTCAAAGTAAAGGGAGTTTGGTTTGTTTCACAAAGTTGTTTGAAAATTTCATATGTACCATTCAGAGTTATCGAGACTGTCACCAAAACCAGGAGTATCAACGACTGTCAGTTTTAGCTTGACACCTCTTTCTTCTATTTCAACTGTCGATGATTCAATGTCAACTGTCTTTTTGAGTCTCTCTGGATGGGAACAAAAAACAAGATAAAATCTTATGCCATGGCTTTCAGAACATTTTTGCGCTAGTGACTGTGGGGAGGGAGTCTTAAAATCATCCAAATTAGATATAGCAACACAACTGAACTCTGTAACCAAATTATAATGTATCACTACTTTCATTCTTCACAGATAACTTCAAGATTTAAATAACCAAATCAGTTTTACAAAATAGTATGTCGTTTTAAAAAAATAACCAGGCTATAAAGTAGACCAGGTTGAGGAAAATATAACTTTGTTTGAAAGTTTAGAATGGAGAAAGGAGAGAAGAATTGAAGAATTTCAAGTACTAAACAAATTTTGAAAATTGTCAAAAATTTTAATACTTTGCCATTGA